TGGTGAGCGGAGCGGGAGCCCACGTCCTTTGTGTCTGCGGTGAATGGTTGTAGACATCGAGGGCTCAGTACTTATTCAGGAAAAGCTCCCCCGGACTCATGTGTCATTCACCTGACTAATGCCAAGAAAATTAAGCACTTTTTTTGCAACTCTGGGCTTATTGGAGAATAATGTGGTATGCGATAGCACGGACGGGGTTACGAAATCATGTTTTCATTTTGAAGGAGCGAGAACGGCTCGAGCATAAATTATGTTTCCGATCATATTTGGCAATTTCAGATTAAAAATAAATTTCGGCTTTGGGGTTATAGATTGCCATCTATCAGCTTCCTGAAAAGGAAAAAAGGAATTAGAAGGAAAATCTGACTGTACAAATTGCCTCGCTATGACCTACTTATTGAAAGTAATTTTTTTTTTTTTTTTTTTTCCCCAGGAATGAGATCTTTCCACATAGGGAGGCATAGTATTGTATGTGTATAGGTTTGCAGGCAGGTATATAGGCACGGGTCGTATGGGAGGATCTATCGGCCATCCCTGCAAGCAGCTACAGGCAAAATAGATGCTAGGATTGTGCTGGAGATTTCTGAGAAAGCCAAAAAAAGCGCGGCAATCACGTCGTTTTACTTGATAGAGGAACCTTGACTGCAATTTTGCATCTGGTCATCAGCCTTCGGGACCACAGGAATCCGCATGTTAGACGCTGTGGCTTTGTTTTGCTCAAAAAGCCTGAGGTTGGGGCAGCGTTTGCTGGAAGGCTCCGGGGCCTTGCAGAAGGAGCTGGGGTCGCTTGCAGCTGGCTGTGGGAAACACTGGCCCGGGCCGAATGCCGTGGTTCTTCCCTGGGGGCATTTTTGGGGACTAACTTGCTTAAAATCTTAAAATGAAAGCCCCAGCTGGCTGGCGGGAGGGCCCATGTGAGCCAAGGACAGAAAGATGTTTACGGGAGTCGCTGTGAACTGGCAGTGCCGCCTTTCACCCTGTCCAATCCCTTTCTAGAAAATTGAGTAAATATCTGCTGAAAAGGGTTTTGCTGGGCTGACAAAGCGCCGGGCTTGCAGTCGCTGCCCTCTGCTCTGCCTGCGAGACTCCCCCTCCCTGGCTGCCGTCTCTCCGATCGAGATGCTCCTCCGCAAAGTGAACCCATGGGCTCTTGTTCCTCAAACCCCTTCCCTGTCTGGGTTTCAGAGGGGGTTTCGGCGTCTTCCCTGCCCAGTTGCCATCTCCCCAAGGGAAATCCTTCCCCTGCCTCCATCCCTGCCACCGCTCCTCTTTCCACCGCAGTCCCGAGCAATGCCAGCCTTCGCTTCCCTGCCCGTAGTGCTTGTGCTACCCTGTTTGTGGTCTCTGCCAGGAGAGGGGGGCCTTTAGCCTTGCTGGGAAGGAGGAGGTTGAGGAGATGGATACGGAGATAAATATACACCTAGAGTGTGCCTGTGCTTTGCTCGGTCTGTTTGTCTCCTGCCTGTTGCTCGCAAGAGGAAAAAAAAAAATAAAAAAAAAATAAGACTTTCATCTAAGTAGGAAGAAAGGGATGAAGCTGAAAGCGAGAGGCTGCGTTTTGTGCTCGGGTAGGTGCTGCTTAGCCCATGTACAGCAGACTCTGCTTCTGCTGTGGTCAAAAACCAATGAAGGAAAAAAGACTCTCTCATCCCCAGAGGAAGCTACAAAGCTCTCTTTCTCTTGCTTCTGAACCTTCACAGCTGGACTCAGTTGCTGGCTCCTCTGCTGCTGGAGCAACTGAATTATTTAAAGGAATCTTGATTTCATTTTCTCTTTGCTGTTTTCATGCGTTGTGTTTATTGTCTATAGATATTTTTATAGTCTGAAGCAATTACAGCTGTCAGAAAAGAGACGAGCTGTGACAGGCTGATTTATATGTACATTGTATGTATGCAAGAGAGGGAGAGCCGGAGACGGGGAGATAGACCAGGGATTCTGCTGGGCTTTTGTATGCAGGAGCTGGAGATATTGGATTTAAATTCCTTGGGATTTTCAAACGGCGCTGATGATCTCTTAACAGTGGGCCAAATTCAGCCCTTGCAAGGGCTGAAGCCGCTCAGCGGGTCACGTTCTGCCCCAGCCTCGCGCGTTTGCGGCGTAGGCAGGTGCTTTCTCTCGTGATTTAAGATGCTCCTGGCAATCTGGGCTGTGTTAAAAGGTTAACTGGCTGTGGTTATTGGAATCCCTTTGGTTTTGCTGACTCGGGAGATGGTCTCTGTCCATCCAAAGGAGCAGCCTCGCAAAGAGAGCGAGCTCTGGCCTGACGAGCGTGGCGATGGCTTGCGGGTCCGGCGCACGAGGGTGTCCCCCAGCTGCGAATGGGTAGCACGGCGGGGTCCCCATCCTGCGTGGGGGCGCTTGGATGGGCAAAAGCAGTGCCTTATTTTCTTTGCTGACTCGTGGACCCCAATGCAATGCCACAACCCCATGCGAGGAGCTTCACCCTGCCCCTGGTGGTCTTGGCTTTTGCACTTAGGTTTCGGTAGACCCTTCCCATGCAATGTGTGGGCCCAAAGGGGTTACGCTAAAAGCAAGCGTTACCCTGCCAGGTGGGCCAGGAGCAGAGATTAAACTCTTCCTGCCAAGAGCTGGGGAAAGCTCCTGTCTCCTCCTGGGGAAAAGCAGGACTTGAGGCAGCACGTCACACCAGCGCTAAATTCAAGGAGCAGAGCCTTCAGAAGAGGAAGAAGTAGAGTGACTTGCAAAGCAATCCCCTTCTCATATGACCTATCAGCACGCACAATAATAATAAAGCTTTATTTGATTGAGTGTTTCCTCTGCCCAGCACAGCTCATAATGTTTTAGAGATTAAATAGCACAGTTAGTGAATTAAGCAGTAGTTTACAGGGGATTCGGAGACTCCAGGGATTAGTAACGGGCTATGGATCCTTTCACATCTAGGTCACCAGTTTGAATCCATCTCAGGTTGGCAGCGATTTCAGGGAAGGGGAAAAAAAAAAAAAGAAAAGAAGGAAAAAAAAAAAAATTGGTGCCATGTAATAGCTGCAGAGCACGCGGTGGGAAATGGAGGGGGGGAGGACTTTTGGATAAGGTCCCATGTCATGGAGAAATCATGGGGGACAGCGGGTGGAGGAGGCCTGGTTTCCCCTAATGCTGGGCTGCTGCAGCTCGGGGAGAGGTGGGGGGGGGATTTCCAGGGCACAGCACCCCGAAAGCTGCGGCTCGGCTGCTCGCTCTGCATTTGCTCGGTGGCTCCAGGACTTTGTGCTCTGAGGATGGCTCCCCGGCACCTTTTACCAGCATGAAACTGTGCCTGGAAATATTAATGTGTTTAGCCGCTAGCGGAGGGAAGGAGGAATTACTAGGCATAAGCAAATGCGATATTTGTTAAATTATGAGCTGATAAAAAGTACGCGGGGACCGTGCTGGCGGCTGGGGAGGAATTTGCCACTTACGCTCATGCTGTGTGTCTGTGAGGTGCGGAGGACCAGGAGGGCACGCTCCTGTCCCTCCTTGTCACCACCTGCCTGACTTTGGGGGGAGGGGGGGGGAATTGTCCCGTGCCTCAGTTTCCCCTCCCGCACAGGCGGCTTTGCCGCCTGGGGAAGGGATGGTGCGGAGGCAGAGGAGGGCAAGTGTTAGGGGTGCTGGCT